AGTTTTGCTTCAACCCTAATCAAACACACCTGAACAAGCCAATCAAGGTCTGAACGGTTATTAGGAAGCTACAGGCAGGTGCGTTTTAATTAGGGTTGGAGCTGAACTCTGCAGGGCTGCGGCTCTCCAGGATCGGAGTTCGCCACCCCTGGTCTAGACCCTGAATATAAGACGCGTTTTTTCAGATGTATTTCCAAGAAAAAAACATCGTCTTATATTCGGGTCAATACGGTATATTCAATCATATTTTTGTCTTTATCATTTTGTGTTTTAATGGGATGTTTCTGTACTAAATGTTTACTAAATATTTATTCTAAATTATTCACTATGGAGTAACCACTACATTTCTGTACAGCCCTATAAACAGGGATGTGTATTCCCTAGTTGCTGGGAACATTGTTTTCAAACATAATTACTTACTTGCATTAGATTATGTATTTGGATATATACAGTATTTAGAGGATATATACAGTATTTAGACTATTAAAGACTACTTTTTGTAAAAGTTGACATTTAAAGGTTGATTTGAAGTGTCAGTTTTTGCATCATTATTGCGGTAAAATCTGGACACAGGGAACGCATTTTGTTACTCATACTAGCTAGGCTACATATAATTACTTGATCAGTCACATGAAAGTAATCAGAATAAATATTGACTCTGTGCGACCAGGTTAATATTCCTAAACTCCACATCGCTGTCAGCGATTGACAGATTCAGATTCCAGAAGCTTTATTGGCATGGTAAAAAGGCTTTACATTGCCAAAGCACTCTGATCCAGTGCTGTTTAGCATTATCAAATTTACAGGCGGCAATGGGCAGCGAATGAGGTAGTGATTGACAATGGCAATTAGGCATTGTCAGATTGACATTACTCTAGGGCACCGGGGGGCCAATCACGTTCAGTGGGGTTCAAGAGGGGCACCTCAGCTAGTGAGGGCTGAGGGGCAGTGGCTCTAGCCACCGGGCCACCTCCCTGTGCACGGCCCTGCCTACAGCTACTTAGATTCATAGGTTGGAAACAGAAATCACACAAAACACACTTTATCAAATTGTCACACTTTGGTTTCTTGAAATTCTCAGGCCCATCAGAACCTGTTACGCTTTCCACAATGGACGAGGCCAATCCATCCCGGCAAGATGAGTGTGCTGTCAACTTTGGGTTTGGACAGGAATTAGAAGCTCTTGAAATCAAAACAGAGACGACTGATCTCCCACTGTGCATTAGACCTGAAAGCAGCGTCACCACATTACCTCAAAGCATTGATCAGGGATCTGACAATGCCGGGACAGGTGCTGGTATTGCCTATGGCCTGACAGACAGTATGACCTGGGACTCTGCACAGAGTTACATGGCCCCTCTGGACTTTGATCCAACTTCAGGTCCCACCAGGGTCCGGCGCTGGAGAGGACGTAACAGAAGGCAGAGGATGTCCTTTGCCTGTCCAGACTGTGGTAAAATCTTTGGAAGGGAACAGAGGCTGATCATTCATATGCGGATTCATTCCACCGAGAGGCCTTATGCATACCGCCGGCGCAAGGCGTGCTTCTATGGTGATAATAAGAAAAAGAGGAAACTGCACAGGCTCTCTCAGGTAAACATCAGCACGGTTATTAAAGTCAATAAAACATTAAAATTGACCCATTTTACTTTTTAATACACATCTTATTGTGGTGAATGTTATTCAGAAGCATTCTGGTATTAAAAATCAAACCCCACACTTAATTTTTTCACATTTAATATACCGATTCACTTTGAAATTTGTTTTAAGTATTTAAATGATAGATTAAACTAATAATGAACTTTTATAAATGTAAAATGAGAATGTTTTTAACAAATAATATTATAAATGCTTGTGTTATTCTCTCACATGCAGCTATCAAGAGAAATTGTGGATGATCTGTCAGATGGCTCTGAGCAGACGAACAGGAGTAGTGCATCATCTGAACAACTAGAAACTACTGCACCAGGCCAAGAAGAAGAGCCTGAGAGTGACCACACCAGCAGTGATAAACCAGAAAAGAGAATTACCACCCCTGTGCGGAATCAGCGCAACAAAAAAAGAGTTGTAAACCAGATTGTGACAGAACCAACACCGTGTCAGTGCCCTCATTGCCCTCATCGGATGTTCGCTCGGCCCTGTCAGTTAGCCATGCACATGAAGACCCACACGGTCACCGCTCTTACCAACCTACCCACCCAAGCACAGTCAGGAACTCGGGAGATAGTGGATGTGAAGAGGAAGTTACCCAAGGTACTGCACATTCTCTAGTGTCATAAGTAGTGTGTGTGTAGATATGCATACATCAAGATTTTCTTTCCTACAAACATAATCCCTCTTAAGGATGTAAACAGACAGTAGGGGGAGCAAATTAAACAGCCATTGAAAAAGCTATATAAATAAACCACTATTCTGAATATTTGGTGTGATATGCTTCAACACATAAAGTTATTTGATGCAATAAGAGTCAAAGTAAAACTCACAAGCAAAGAAAGATATTGCAAGATGCACATTTTGAAGTAGTGGTTGACCAATATGGGTTTTTCAACTGCTGATGCTGATATCTAGAAAGTAGGGTGGCTGATATTCAATTATAGCAAATATACATAAACTTTCTGAAATTAAATGAGAACACATTTACTCAAAATACACTAAAACAAATAAAAGAAAATAGATAAACACTGTATGGTTATTGGCTGATGGTTGTAATCTTAAGATAGTAAGCATGTATTTTAGGATGAACTAAACACACTCATACAGCTACAGCCAATCTACGAAGAGAACAAGAAAGCAACTACTGAAGCGGATGCTGTTTCAACGGTGAGTCTGAGGCCAAAAATGACCGTTATGAAAACAAGTTGATATGTGGCTTGGAACACATACTGTTCTGCATTTACTTCTGCATCTACTATGTCGCCTGAGATGTTATTTGTTGTGGGGTTGCACCACCAGTAAAAAAAAAAAAAAAAAGGGTCAATGAAGCATTTGAGCATAATAAATCTCTGGAAATATCAGCTATAGCTAGGTAATCTGTGATCATTTTTTGTCAGATAATGTGTTTTATGTAACTAGCTAGATGAGTAGATCAAACGTTTACATAAAGCTGAATTGAAGAACAAAGATAATGTACTATAATCATAACATTTTATCAACTGCTACTACTTAATTGCTAGTAGTCTACGGCTGAGGGATTTTCTTTTTCTTTATTATTTAACTGAAATGGAATTGTCAGTACAGGCTATCCTGTGTTTGCAGTCTGTAGAAATTACCTGGTAGATTTGTAGATTGAGCAGTAGATTTGACAAATGGAATATATATGGCAGTTTATTTAGCTGGTGTTTGTTTTTAAATGACCAATCCATGCAATTTTAAATGAGGGGTTTTCAACCTTTATGGACCCAGAGATCCCCAGCCAACCCAAGTACCTCTAGTATAAAAAAAAGCTAGATTTTTATGATAACATGTTACAGTAACTTATTTTTTTTATATCATGTAACATTATTACATGCAATTCTTAAAAGGTAATTTGTTAGAAAATAGTTGTTTAAATGTTTTCTGGGACCCATGGTTGAAAACCCTGCATTTAAATAATTACAAGACCAGTATCACCAGTGAGAAGAAGAAAATGTTGGATTGTTTGACTTACGTTCTTGTTGTTCGCATTAAGTCTTATTATTAACTGTTTGATTAGTTGAAGTTCATTTTGTAGGTCTGCTTTCACCACTGCATTTAAGCCATACCTACAATTATCTGAATGCATTCAGTGTTTTATAATATTTTATAGTATCTTTAATGCAAATAAGTATCACTAAAGAAAAAAACACAAAGCTTATGCGTGTTTTTCCTCTTGCTTCACAGGTGGCATTTGTTTCAAACCGCTGTTTTAGCAAAGTTTGGGACTACTTTTCAAAAGATGCATATGGTGAAGTCTTTTGCCATGCATGTTCAGGCAGAGTTAGCCAGGGGTCCAGCAAGGCTTCTCAGAAGAACACCTCTAATTTATGGTCTCATCTTAGAATAAACCATCGACATGCCTATTTAGAGGCAAAAAGGTACAGCCGACCAGTCAATATGCTGATCAACACTTTGGACACATCTCCGCTTAAATTAGAGTATTTTGAGCCAGAAGAACGCATTGTAGAGGGAGAAGGTGAAATAAAGAAGGTTATGATACCAGAAGAACCATCCAATGGAACTTTGTAAATATGTAAACAATTTGGACACAATGTTTATAATGTATATACAAATTAGAAAATCACAACCTTTTGAAATTTTTTTTAATGGAAAACAGTTGTGTATATATACAATGCAGTTGTTTTAATAAAATTGGTTTGAAATGAATTCATGAATTTTAGTCTTTTCTGCGGGTGGTTTACTTCAATATAGTAATATATTTAAAATGTTTGTAATGCCATGACATCTTGGGAAATGTACTGTAGATTTGAAATGCCACTCATTGTCCTACAGTATCAGTGCAATGAATTTTTCAACTTTCAAGTTCACTGTTAGAGTAAGTATTTTAATATGCTGTTTACCTGGAATGACTTCTGTTAAAAAATACAGACATTATTCATTCACTTTCATATCCAGGGTGTAATACATTTGGAGCTCATTGCATATGTCTTTCCATACCTTTCTCATTGTCAAATGGACTTGCATTTCTTTCAGAAGCAAAGAAAAAATGATGTGGAGAAGGAGGCCAAAGTTGCTGACAAACGTGAGCTCCATTGTCCAGACTGTGACAGAGTCTTCTTTTATGCAAGTCGGTTGCGTGTCCACATGAAGTCCCATAAGTCCAAAAGGGCTTTATTACACAAAACTCGGCCAATCAAGACTGAGGTACCTGCTCACACAATGCATAAATGTGATCTGGATGAATGATTATTTCCATTAATGTGCTTCTTATTACATTTGGATATTTGTGTTCCTCATAGCTGACTAAAGAAGAAACAATGGTGGCAGTGCCTAAAACTACAGAAGTACAGAATTTGAAGGAGCTAAAGAAAACATATGCCTGCCCGCATTGTGATAAAGTGTTTACTCGTGAAGGATGGCTGGGGCCGCACATTCGCACTCAACACCAGGAAGTAAAGAACATGAGTGATAACGTGTTTGGCAGTGGCCGTACAAGATCACAACAGCCTTTCACCAAGGTTAGTTTTCAGATTTGTAATTGAATATGCAGATGTTAATGTATACTTGCTGAGACACTGATCATTTTTGAACTTTTATTTCTTTATAATAATCCATATCCCTTTTTTATTGATCGATAAGCGATTTCGTAAGTGCACAACTAAGACGCGGGAAGTCTCTAAGAAGCCAAGACTGAAGAACCGGGAAACTAAAGAATCAAGAAGTGTCAAGGCTAAACCTTGTCAAACAAGTGATGAGTTCATCCTGGTTGTTGATGTGCCCACAATCACAAATAATGAGGCCGAACAAAGTGCAGATCTTCCTATAATGAGCACAGATGAGGCTGAACAAAGTGAAGATCTTTTGAAAACGGGCACAGATGAGGCTGAACAAAGTGCAGATCTTCTTAAAACGAGCATAGATGAGGCACAACAAAGTGCAGATCTTCTTAAAATGGGCACAGATGAGGGACAACAAAGTGCAGATCTTCCTAAAACGAGCATAGATGAAGCACAACAAAGTGCAGATCTTCTTAAAATGGGCACAGATGAGGGACAACAAAGTGCAGATCTTCCTAAAACGAGCATAGATGAAGCACAACAAAGTGCAGATCTTCTTAAAATGGGCACAGATGAGGGACAACAAAGTGCAGATCTTCCTAAAACGAGCACGAAGGAGTCAGAGAGCACTTCTGAGCAATCAAAGGACACCTCAGGCTCTGACCGTGGAACATCAAGCACTAAAAATCTGAAGAGGATGTTTCCATGCAAAACATGTGGCAAAGAGTTTGTTCTGGAGAAGAGGCTAAAGAAGCACTCAAGGAAACATGTAGGGCGTAGGTTGCAGGATGAAAAGAAAATGAGAAGAGAGCAAGCTCTAATGGAAACTAAGCTTGAGGAACAAGAAAAAAGGAGATCGGAGGAAAAAGAGAGGCTTGATGATAAGATGTCAACAAGTAATCACAACCCAAATACTGTGGTATGTGTTCTTTACAAAAACCTAAAGATTGACTGAATATACCTTCACATTTCATAATTTTAAATCACAAAAACAGATAAGCTTGATTTGTTTTAATAAGATCTTTAAAATCTTTAGAAATCAGTGGAACCAGAATTAATAAAATTATTATTATCATTAAGAAAATTCAGGAAAAACGTGGTTCCTGTGTCTGCACAATTTGTGGTAATGTCTAAGCCCATAAGAATTGGCTAAGGATTCACATGCGTGGCCATCATGAACGAACACGTGATACGAGGACAAACCAGTCAGAAACCAATGAGAGGCATAGAAAACAAGGAAATGGCAATAAACTTGGAAAACAAAAAACTTGGAATAATAGCAAAAATGACCACATGATGTGGGTTAGTCTACAAAATGGGTGCCGTTTGTTTTGCATGTTGAAGTGTAAAGGATAACTTGATAATAACTGATACCAAATTTATTAGATAATACAGCCCGTTTTTAAAGGGGTCATATGATGCGATTTCAATTTTCCCTTTCTCTTTGGAGTGTTACAAGCTCTTGGTGCATAAAGAAGATCTGTAAAGTTGCAAACACTAAAGTCTCAAAACCAAAGAGATATTCTTTATAAAAGTTAAGAGTTAACCACGCCTACCTAAAACAGCTCGTTCTAACGCGCCCCTCGCGTTTCAAAAAGGCGGGGCATAGAGGAGAAACAATAATGTACAGTATGTGGAAAATCATGTGTTTTTTTAAACTTTAAAACCGCATAAACATATTTCATTACACCAAATACACAAAATAATGTTCTTTTTAGCAGAATCATATGACCCCTTTAAACAAAAATCTTATAACTTTATTGCATGTTTGTTTAGTTTTGTTCGTTGAAGAATGTTTTTGTATATTGATATTGTAAATTCTAATATAGGAACCTGCAAGGCTAGTAATGCCTTTCTGAAAGCACTATTATGTTCCAACTTGTACTATATCAATTTAGCTTGATGATACATTGCAAGTTATTGTATTTAACACCTAAAATCTTAATCTTAAAATCATTTTTGTTAAAGGTCCTCATTTTATAGATTATCTCATGCATAAATATGCATTCAAATAATATTTTCATTCCCCTTCAGCAGACGCGTCAAGCATCCCCAAAAAAAGAGTCATTACAAAAAAGCAGAAACGGAGGTCAAGGGCCACTACCCTGCCCATTTTGTGGCAAAGTTTTTGCTTGGGAAATGCGGCTATTGATGCATATGCAGATTCATTGTGGTGAGAAACCTTACGCCTATCGGCAGCGCAAGAGACATTTTTATGGTGACCTGAAAAGGGGCCAGCACCCGAAAATCCATAATCAGGAGGTAGGAAAAGACTATGTGATTGATTATTTTGACTATTAGTTTCATCCAGTTTCATATCCTCAGGAAAAAAGAATTGTTTGTGCAATTAATCCTAGGTCTTGTTAACCCTAAAGACAGTTGTTTAAGTCATTATAAGAATGGTTGATTGTCGCTTTCCCCCAATGCAGCCTTCGGGGGACAAAAGTGAGTCTGAAGAGTCTGAGTATGAAGAGACGGTGAATAAGGACAGATCTGCACATCTGAGCAGCAGTGCAACCCATGCAGTGTCTGGAGCTCTCGCAAGCAGTATTGAGACCACTGTACCAGAGTACTATACTGGCAACCCCGGCCTTTTACCTCCGAGAGCTATTGAGCAGCCTACCACCTCTTACAAAAGTAATCAAAGAACCAAACCCGAACTGGTCAGTGACATCATGAGCCACTTCAATTTGCAGCCCAGGATTGTTCTCCAACCAATTATGACTGAATACAAGTATTGGAGCTCAGTGCCTCGGGTAGCTGACTTGAAATCAGGTTGCTCTGAAAAAAGTAGTGACTTTGATCACAAACAAACCTCATACTCCGTATTGGTTGATGATGAAATGGTGGCTGCTGTGGAAGATAAAATTGTGGATTCCAATCTTTGCACATTGCCATTGGAATTCTCTAGTCATGGCATCCAGAACAAGCCCGAAATATGCCTCCCTGGTAATCCTGAAACCGAAGTAGTCTTTGTGGAGGTTGGATCTCCACAGCGTGATTCGGAAGTAGAGCTTGACAACATTGGGGGGCCACTGGCCTTTGAATCCTCTGAGGGAAAAAACGCGGAGAGTCAACAAAAAGATGACCGCAACTCAAATTTTCCTGGTGTTTCAGAAAAAACAGCCAGAAAACAGATATCACTTATAGAAATAGATGACGAAGTAAAGCAGTCAAATGCAAGAACTGCTGCTGAAAATGCTCTGTCTGAATGTGGAAGAACGAAGTGTGATTGGAAGTGTGATTGTAAGAACATTTCTGCTATGAAATTAACAGTCATGCCACAGAGTAGCGTTTTAGAATCTGGCACCATTCAGAAGAACATTGACTCAAAATTAGTTTGTGTTGTCCTCTCAGATGTTGAAGACAATGTTGATGAAGATGTGTTGAGTCCCTCCAAAGGTTTAGATAAAAAGAAAACAGCCTCTGTTCCTAGCATTCAAAATGAACAATTAGATGTGGGGAGCAAACCTGGCAAAAGTCCCTCCAGCAACTCCAACTTTCCAGCTCCAGATGCAACTGAACCCACCAAATCTATTGATGGTGCCTCACAACTTACTGATGATCAAAGTATCTCAAACGACCCACTCAGACACCAGATGGCCTTTACTGCCATCAGACAAACAGAGGACAGGCCCATGAGTTCAAAGGATAGAATATCATGTCAAACATCTGATATGGTATTTGCTGGTCAAGAATCTCTGTCGGAAGTTCATGCTGACAATAAACTGCTAGACATGGAGATTGTCAATGGCGGTGAGAGAAAAAATAAGAAACTGGGTCTGAACAACCAGGTATGCAATAGTAGCAGATCGAAAAGTACAATACGGACTCAAAAGTAAATCTAATCTTAAAGGGGTCATATGATGCATTTTCAAGTATTCCTTTCTCTTTGGAGTGTTACAAGCCGTTCGTGCATAGATAAGATCCCTAAAGTTGCAAAGACTAAAGTCTCAAACCCAAAGAGATATTCTTTATAAAAGTTAAGACTCATCCACGCCCTCCTAAAACCCCTCGTTTAAACATGCCCCCACATGTCTACATCACTGTGTGGGAAGATTTGCATAACCGCCAAAATGTATACACCAATAAAGAACTTTCCAACTTTGCAAGGACAATCTGGCGCTTCTGACTCTCAGCCTGTAAGTACGTTTTCATATTTAAAGAATTTGCCACTGATGATTCAAACGCGAGTTTTGGGCAGTGTAGAGTAGCACTTGTTGTCGTTTCTCCGATCACAAATGCAGACTTGGTTTTATGTTTACGCGGCGTGATATGCAACGCATAAAAAGACAGTATAAGTCATTATGATCAGTAATTATGTCCCCACTGGATGCAGCAAATGCCTCTTTTGTTATGGGTTTTATTGGTTTTGTCTCGTCATGCCGGGACACGGCATCACAGTATGGTAAGGGGCATAACATTTCCGTCACACGCTTGAGGTATTTGGCCAACGCACTGGATAGCTGGCCAATCAGAGCACACCTCGTTTTTCAGAACTATGAGCTTTGTAAAAAATCGACAAGTTTCAGAAAGGCGGGGCATAGAGGAGAAACAATAATGTGTTTTTTGAACCTTAAACCGCATAAACACTTTTTTAGCAATGTCATATGACCCCTTTAATCGATCTGTGGAAATGTAAAGAGATATGTAAATACATGAACAGAGAAATCTCCGTTTATATTTATACTGTTTTCTTTTGAATTTTCTTAATGTCAGATGTCAGAATCTGTTCTGGATGATTCAACTGACAACTTTGAAATCTCAGGGACAATTGAACCACCTGTACAAAATGTGAAAACTTGTGAGTTACTTGTGAAAAGTTCTGAAGGATTCGAAATGCCTTTATTCACATCCCATCAAACCTCTGATGGTAGATGCAAGACTGCAGTGAGCAGTGGAGAACAAAAAAAAGTAAAGCAAGCACTATATTGTCAGTTTTGTGAGAAGGCATGTAGAAAGATAGAACTGCACCTGAAGTGTGTTCACGCAAAAGAACCTGAAGTGGTAAAAGCTTTAAATCTTGACACAGACTGTAAAGAAAGGAAACCGTTATTGAGCAGTTTTGCTATTAAAAAGAACTTCAACCAACCTAGAGATTCTCGAATCGATTGTGATGAAGATGTTCACTGCATTTTTTGCCATGAGTCTTTTGGATGGAACAGATTTCGGGAGCATGCTCTTATATGTAAGCATAACATGAATCCAGCTGCATCCAGCAAAACTCAGGAAATGTTTCATGCAGAATTGGAAAATCTTGCTCCAGACACTATCAGCATCTCCAGACCTTTAGAGCCACCTAATGCTCCTGTGTCAAATCTCTCAGATTTACGTGATCGCCCTATACCAGAAACTAGGATATGTGAGGCGAAGGAGAACCATACTTTAGTGTCAGATCATTCCCAAATTCTATGCACTAGTGACAGCCCAGCACAGAAGGTTTGTGATCCGAAATCCTCAAGCCCTCCTCATCTTGACTCTTGCCAGGGTGCGGCTCCAAAAACCTATTATCCAGAAGTGAAGGGGCCAACTGTTTCTAACATTGACAGCATTATAGCTCAAATTGATCTTGATGCACAATTATTAAAGCCATCTGGTCTAGATTCTTGCCAATGTTCTGCAATAAATCCTCCTTATTTGGAATCTTCATTCAGTACATCACGGAACCCTGATGTGGAGATACTTGAACCTCCCATACTAGATTCCTGTCAATCAATACGAGTCGTAGAATCTACAGTTCAAACCCTTCCTTTTTCAAACACTGGTTGCAATGTTCTTCAGCTGTCCCTTATAAAACAATCAGATCATCTCAGACTTGTGAACCAACCATTTTCTTCAGATCCAGAGGTGTCTTGTGATTTAGAACCTGATGGTTATTCTTCTTGTGATACTGGGTGTTGTGACAGCCTTCAGCTTTCTTCAAAACCAAAGGTTGCTTCACGTCCTGCACCCTTAAACTCTTCTTCAGAATGCAATGCAGATTCAAAGTGTACTCTTAAGCTAGCTGTGTTTGATGATACGTATTTGGGCACTAATGAGACAGAGCAAACCCAAGATTCAGCTGTAGAAAGGAACATCTTCACGGTCTCAGGCAGCTCTGATGTGCATCTAAAACCTGAAAGTCACCATACTCCAGATCCTAATAGCTATAACGTTGAACAAACCCAGTGTCAGCAGCCTGAAAGTATTGAAAATCCAGATGCTGGCAGGAGTGGGAATCAGCCAACAGCTGATCTAGAATTAAAGTCAGTTCCTTCTATTCAAGAAATCAAATCCAGAGCCGTAGGACACATGTCTTACCTTAAATTCCAAGAGTGTGATCTTCAACAAGACCCTGAGAAGATCACTGATGAGAATGGCATTGATTGTGCTGTTGAAGTTCAACATGACTCAAGCATATCAGTGACAAGCAAGCAAAAGAGAAAAAGAGTCTACCAGATTAGCCGTCTGAAAGAGGAGTCAAAGAAAAGTTGTCAAAGTTCTCATTCTCAGGTTATTTTATTTTTTATTTTTTTTGCGATGCAAGCTTTTAGTGCTTACCTTTGATAGAATTCTGCTGTAGTATTATACATATAATGTATAACGTGCCGATCTTTTAGTGCTAATATGCAAAAACTGACCATACAAAGAATTATTATATTAATTGATGATTCAATTTCATTATGCTCTTTTAAAATGTGGATGCATTAATTATTTGTTATTGTTCCTCCTTTGCAAAAACAGGGTCCTGGATGCCAAACCAATTCCACTGATGACAACTCCAGCGTATTCAAGATACATCACTGCTTTTACTGCAAGCAGCCACATTATAGAATGATGGATCATCTTCAGTCAGTTCATGCTAATGAACCAGAGGTGGCAAAAGCTCTTACCTTTGACAAGAGCTCAGAAGAAAGGAAACAACTTTTGAACCATCTACAAACTAGGGGAAATGTTCTACACAACACAAATGTGGTTCAAAGTAGTAAACAAGGTTTAAAACCATTTGGGAAGTTTGCATCGGAGTGCTCATTTGATGATAGTGTTTATTGCATCTACTGTTTAGGGTTATTTAACAAGAAGTCTTTTGCTTCACATTTAGAGCAGTGCAAGGGCAAATCAACTCAAAGTGCTGAGGCTAGCTGTGGTGAAATGCTTCCTGATGCTGGGCCCATTCCTCCAGCTCCTACACTTATTTCCCCCTCTAGTCCAGAAGAGATTGATGCCAATATAGAACCATCAGGTTTTCATTGCCTAAATACCATCTATGAAACAGATTTTGAAAATGAACAAGGAAGTACTTCCCTTCCAGACCTCAGCTGCAATGTAGAGCAACCAGACATCTCAAGTCCAAATGAGGAGGTTAGAAACAATAGACAGGCAGTGGGTGCCTTTTTACAATTCAGACGTTCTCCTGAAAATGAAGTAGGTTACGAATTGAAGTCGGGTAATTCTCCCAATCCAAGCACTGGTCAAGAATCAACAGACTGTAAGAATGAAGGAGTAAGTCTCCCAAAGTGTGATGTTGATCAAGAAAGGGCAATGACACCAACATCAGACACCAGCTCCATCAGTCCTCACCCAGAATATGATGTTCTCAGAAATCCATGTGATGATTTCAGTCCACCTCAAAATGCCCAAACTGTGTCTAATGACACACACAAGAGTAGCGTGAAAGCCCAAACTTATGGAACAGGGATGAAGAGGAGGAAGTGGTGCTCACGTGTCCATAATCAGGTAAATATAATTGTTAAATGACACATTCTGAACTTTGTTCTTCACTCTCTGTTAGTAGATTCTTTCCATTAAAAGATACTTTGAACCTCTATATAGTTTGAGTAATACGGGTTATGTTAACACGTGAGCAGAACTGATCCAGTATACAGCCAGTATTTTCAATGAACAAAGAATAAACTGGTGTTTTCTCCTTTCATTTGTAGTCACTGATCATGGATGATGACATATTGTAGAGAAATGCTTTGTTCTTATAAGACAGGGATCCTCAAACCTGGAGGTCCAATGCGCTGCAGAGTTTAGCTCTAACCCTAATCAAACACACCTGAGCATGCTAATCAATGTCTTCAGGATCATTAGAAAATCACAGGTAGCTGAGTTTGATCAGGGTTGGAGCTAAACTCTGCAGCGCATTGGACCTCGAGGGTAAGATTTGAGGAACCCTGTTATAAGAGAATGGAATTGACATTCTTGTTTTATTGACAGCCATCAACAAAGAGTCCTGAGGATTTACCAAATGCTGTTACAGATGACACAGGGGGAAAAGTTTCAGCCACAAAGCAAGGTAAAGTTACTGCTGGTCATGCAACCCTAAAAAGCATCAAAAGACACAATAAGTATTCTTATCTGTCCATTAAAGCTTGTAACTTTTTTTAACTGAAGATGCTTTTGTTTTAGACACATAGGTGAGAGAGTTCCACTTTGAAGAAGCAGGACAGCAAAGTCAAAGACTATGACACGGATTGCGAGAAGTTATTGTTTACATCTTAGTGTTATGTTTTTTCAAAACATATTTATTTGTTTTTTAAAATATGTTTTACAATGTTGTCTCAATCTAATGGGTTCCATACTTTTCCGGTATGATTAATTTCAGCCTGCTGTATTGTACAGATCTTAGCATATGTTTAATAAATAACTCCAGATTGAGAATAAAAAAAAGTTAGAGGAATCTAAGGATATATTGGTCTTTTTTTTGGTATCTGATATGTGACTTAAGGCAGTTTTCAGTTACTCATTCCAAAGCTGAGACACTAGACATAACAGCCGTTACTCCAGTCTTCAGAGTCACATGATCCTTCAGACATTATTCTAATTTGCTGATTTGGTGCTCAAGAAACATTTCATATCAATGTTGAAAACAGTTGTGCTGCCTAATGTTTGTGTAAATCATGATACTTTTTTTGAAGATTCTTTTATGAATAGAAAATATAAAAAACAAACAACAGCATTTATTTGAAATCTATATAAAATATAAAAGAATATACACAAAAATGTACAATCATAAATGTCTTTGCTGTCACTTTTGATTATTTTGTATAAACAACTATAAAATCAGCAACTAAATGTGAAGTTTTAATTGCTGGTAACAAGTTTCAAGATATTGATTTCAGTAAAACATCTGGGTAATAAAACCGGTTTTTATGGAGTTTGTGACTTAATGACTAAATCTCCTCTGTCATAATTTCATTTGTCCAAACTTTTTATTTTTTACTTTTAAATATTTAAGTACATTTAAATGTGGTAACATTTTTACTTTCACTCAAGTATGCATTTTGCTAGATAATTTGACCTTTTTCTCAGAATCCATACTTTCACTTGAAAGGCAAAATTATGTCAATATAAATTTTACACTGCTGAGGCACTAGTGTGTTTTATTTATCTATGAATTGCGATTCAACTGGAAGACTGCCCCACAGAGAACTGCTTTTCTTGTTTTTATTCCAGGTACCAAGAGGCTCCAGTCTCATTGTGAGCCACTATGCCATCTCATAAAAGTATGTTTATTAGATTCTCTGTTTATCATTACAAGTGCTGTGCATGAGTGTGAAGCTATGACTGACTATAGCTCATATGAATGATGAAGTTATTGAAAGCTGTAACACCTCCTGTCCTGCGAAGGGTGCTAGAGTCACTTCAGTTAGCACAGCAACCTGATGTGCTGGGGGTTGAGTTTAAAGGGGAACTTTCACGCGCTCGTCTCTGTGCTGTTATCGGTACCTGTATTGTCTGTATTTATTGTTTAAATACAGAGACCTGAAATAAAGTAGTAAAATGACTAAACTGGATCGTCTGAACACTTTCATGACCGAGCGCTTGATGGCTGCTGTGAAGGAGATCATCTTCACAGTCGGTAGAACGGTGCGGGAGTATGAGGAGGAAACGGAGCGAATCAGGAGCGAAAACAAGCGACTGAAAGAAATGTTGCGAGACTCTGGGTGTTTCAGTGAACAAGCAAATGCTGGTAAGACGATTAAATTATTCAACTCTATAAAATATCAGGGTAAATGTTTCTGTTATATCATCTTTAGAATAAGGCATAACATTTTGATCGGGAATTACAGATTTTTTTTTTTATATATATTTTCGTGTGTTTTGGTTGTGGTCACGAGGTCATTCATAAATGTATCTATTCTTGATTACATGGTGTTCGAGGATGTGGGAATCGACACAGACCTTAAACATATAATATCAGGGTAAATGTCTGTTATATCATCTTTAGAATAAGGCATAACATTTTGATCGGGAATTACAGATTTTTTTTTTAATATATTTTCGTGTGTTTTGGTTGTGGTCACGAGGTCATTCATAAATGTATCTATTCTTGATTACATGGTGTTCGAGGATGTGGGAATCGACACAGACCTTAAACATATTATGAAAAAATGTATTGCACGAGTTAAGCGATCCATTAAATAAAAAATTTCGTTTTGTGGCTTTTGATTCAGTGTTGTCTAGTGTAGCCTACTCTTAAAAGTTGGCAAAACTTTTATTAAATATACGTTACGCATTTTTACAGTCTCTTTCGGGAAAAAGAACCAGAAATATTATTGACTCATAACATTCACTCGTGGGCGTGTCCAATTTTTTGTCCAAACAAAATGCTTTACAGAATATAATTTTCACATGGTTCACTGCTGTATCGTTAAAATTGATTTGAAATGAAAATCCACCCCATCTATATTCTAACATCTATTTAACGTATTATTGATCTTATTGTGAGCCATTAATCTATGCATATGTTGTTTTTTTTTGACTTCATAATAATCAAAATATCATAAATCGTTCTTCTGGTGTAATGACTTTTCTCTGGAGACTTATGCATGTCTTCATTTAATCCCACTGCAAGCTAGAATTCACCTGCTTGCATTATAGAGTACAATGCCCACATCTCAAAATCCAATCAACAGCCAATGAATAGAATTCAGTCACTGCCTTGGAATTTTTCTTTTTCGATAATTTGTTTCACTCGAATGTACATCACAATACGGAAGAAAAGATCTGTCACTACCTCGGTTTCATCACGACTAAGACTATTGGTTCTTATATAAAAAAAAGTGAGGAGGAGCCCTTTAATATATTCTGTTCTAGCTTTGTGTTTTATTAATAAACTACACAGAGGAACAAAAGCTATACGTCTTCAAGTCTAATGTCATCAAGGAATGTTCAATACTATATCCATATTGTAGCTGTAGGGAACATTACAGACTCATATGGATTTTCAGTTTATTTGCATGAAGAAAATGTTATGTTTTTTTTCTCAGCTCCTGTGCAGTCTTATCAGCCCTTCTCTCCTGGGCAGCCCGGATGGATCTGCAGCCAGAATGAGGAGCTAGAACCCGTTGAAGAGATCCAGCAGGACCAAAGCCAGAGGATCGGTGAACAACACCCGTTCATAAAACCGGAAAAGCCTGAGTACTCTGTCGATGTTTACAGGGAATCCGTAGCTTTGCCATCAAAAGCCACCTACGACGAGGGCTCACACATGTGCGCTGATCACACCAACACAAATCCTATTGAGGATGAAATGACAAACTGTCATTTCTCATCTAAAATCAAAGTTGAATTCATGAACTCCAGCTTGTGTTCAGGCGATGCAATGGGAAGCACTGAAAATGCATATCAGAGCTGGTCGCCAAACAGCCCAGATTTGCCTTTAGGGACATCGGATATCTACAGAGCACAGCACCCAAACCAGCCAACATACGCTAACAGCGAAGCTCCTGCCACAGTATCTCAGCATAACAGCTCATCTCATGATGCCAATCACGTTTCATATCACAACATATTATGTACAAACAGGGCTTACTGTAGCAGTAAATGCTGTGAAATGCAAAAGAGGACAATAGCAAAATCAAGCCCTGTGTGGAAGTATTTCTCTCTAAAAGAGGGAGACTGTAGCAAAGCAGTGTGCCTTATGTGTAGGGCCGTCATATCTCGTGGTCGCAAAGAATACACAACGTCGGCTCTTCTAAAGCACCTTCGGATGAAACATGGTAAATGTTGATGTTATCATTTGTTCTGATTTATTTATATATATATACAGTATCTCACAGAAGTGAGTACACCCCTCACACAAAGGTTGTGGGTTCAAGTCTCGTACCTGCAGGGATTGTCGGTGGGGGGAGTGAATGTACAGCGCTCTCTCCCACCTTCAATACCACGACTGAGGTACCCTTGAGCAAGGCACCGAACCCCCCAACTGCTCCCCGGGCGCTGCAGCAAAAAAATGGCTGCCCACTGCGGTGTGTGTGTGTGCGCACTTTGGATGGGATTAAATGCAGAGCACTAATTCCGAATATGGGTCACCATACTTGGCCACATGTCACTTTTATAGAATCGTACTGTTTGGAAAAAACGTCATGATCTTTAGCTTGTAAGTAACTTCATCATCGTATTGTCTAAAAAAATAACAGGATGTACATACTAGCTAGGGGATGAATTATATCAAAGAAAACTGTAATACAAAAGAGATTGAATAATTTTACAGACATTTACAGAATATTTTACCACCCCACTGAAATGTAAAATGTTTGAGGTTTTTGAACTTGATTATACTCATTTTTGCAATAAATTAATACTGGTTTAACAGCATGTTGAGAATTTTTTTTGTTATTGTTGTTTCGGTGTGAGCCACCTAAAAAATGGTGTTAAAGTTTGTTCAACTTACAAATCTTGTATTTATAGACATAGGAACATGAATAAAGGAGGTTTATGTGGGTGTAAACAAAGCTCAAGCATTGTATTTTTGCCCCTTTCTGCCCAGAGTTGAGTTAAAAAAAAAGTTTCTGTAAGTCATAATGAGAAACTTTCTCGTAATAATGACTTGGTTTCTTATTATGAGATGTGAAGTTGTTATGAGAAAGTTTCTCATTATGAGATTATACTAAGTCATAATTATATATACTTACAACATTAACTCAATTATGAGACATAAGGATGAGTCATCATAATTCATAATTATACTAAGCTATTATGAGAATTTCTCAATATGAAATGTTAAGTCATAATTATGAGAAAGGCTCATTATTATGACTAAGTTGTTTTCACACAACTGGGAAGTACACAGAAGTACTGGGACATGTGTCAAGACAGGCAGACATTTGCATAGAATACAAAGTAACAAAGCTAATTAAAATTAGTCATAACGTAAATAGGAAGGAATATATTATATTTACTAGTATAACTAAATGCCACACTTGACACTATAGGCAAACACAATACAGGTCTATGTAATATTTATTAGAAAAAGAAACATTAATTAGATGTGCCAAATATGGACAAGGAAGGAAGGAATTAAACTTGTAAGATAATTATAAGCTTCTGGAATTACAGAATTCACTTTGTGCTGTATTTTTAAATATTGGGCCTGAAACTGGTAGAACAATAAAGGCGATGACTGTGGTGTTATAATGCACCTGTCTAGTTGGTTTGCAAGTGGCCAATAAATCAACAGAAGAAGAAGAAGTGATAGTTCTTTCTTTACCTTCTAATCCACTCCTCTCCTTTGGTAGGCGCTGAATCGGTTTATTTCTGTGGTTAAAGAGCAGTGTTGCCAGGTCCCCGGTTTTAACTCGGAATAATTTGGCTACTCTAACACTGTTGCCGCGGGTTGTTTTTCATGTCCGCGGTTTGAAGCGACCCAAAAACGTGGTGTTTAGCCCCTGGAATGCGCATTTTACCAGGGGAACAACAACAACAACAACAATCGTGTATTTTACCCATAGGAATGCGATTGGGTTAGTTTTGAGTAGCAATTGGGAGGGGTTT